CGCCCCCGGCCCTGAGTGCAGGCTGACCAGAGCCGGCGCGGCCACGCGCAGCCCACGCGGGGGCTCCCCGGCCGCGGACAAGGATTGGTCGATCCAGTCCATGCGGCCGGGAGAGTGGCAGGCATGCCGGGGGATCAGGACCAAGTGGCTCACCGAGAGCAGCAGCGCCGTCGTCCTGCAAAAGAAAGGGGGCGGGGCGGGGCTGATCAACCAATCCCCGCCCCTCCAGCTCCACCGCCAAGAAGTCTTTTCCCGCTATCTTCTCTGTGGGGGAGACGTGCGTGCGTGTTTGTGTGGGTGGAAGATAAATTTTTTCCAGGGCAGGGATTTTTTCCTAACATACTTCGTTATTTTAAACCTGAGATTTTGAAGAATTGTGAATGGAATTGCCAATAATGGAGGACTGTAAAAGGAAGGGAGTTTTTTTGACAATAATCGTAATCATGAGAGGTTTCTTTATACAATAGAATAGTGAACGCAAAAAGAAGAGGCAAGAGAAAACACAAGCTAGTTTGGATGAGATAAGAAAAGAAGAAGAATTAAAGTTTCCAGAGAAGATAAATATTTCTCAACAAATTAAATTTCTACAGCCACAATTATCTAAAAGAAATGGAAATAAAAATGAAATATGCAAAAAAAAAAGTTTGCAAATAAACCAGGGAAGTGGTTGGCATACAAATTACAAAAAGAAAAGAAAATGATACTGAAATTATAAGAGGGAGATACTGTAATAACAGATGATGTGGTTATGCAAAACATATTTCTTCAATGTTACTCTATTTTATATAAAGGACAAGAAATTTCCCTGGAGAAAATAGGTGAATATTTAAAGAAACAAAATTTACTGAAGATTGCAGAGAAACAGAAACAGGTTTTGAATGGGCCCATAAAAATAAAGGAAGATTGCGAAGCTATAAAAAAGACTAAAACAGGGAAGGTACCTGGATCAGGTGGGTTACTATAAATGCTTTGAGGATGAACTTTTTCAACCTTTACAAAATATGATGAATTCTATTTTACAGAGGGGAAAGATGCCAGAGAGCTGGAAAGAGGCTAATATAGCATGTACCTGGATCAGGTGGGTTACTATAAATGCTTTGAGGATGAACTTTTTCAACCTTTACAAAATATGATGAATTCTATTTTACAGAGGGGAAAGATGCCAGAGAGCTGGAAAGAGGCTAATATAGCATTAATACCTAAGGAGGGACAAGATTTGATTTTAACAAGAAACTATCAGCCGATATAATTATTGAATAATGACTATAAATTGTTTACAACGATTTTGGTTGAGAGGTTGAAAATAATTTTGCAGGAATTTATTCATAAGGATCAACGTAGGTTTTTACCTAACAGACAGTTAAAGGACAACAGTAGAAATGTGTTGGACATTTTGGAATATTTGGAGCAACATAATGAAAAGCAAGTCACATTGTATGCCAAAGGAAAAAACCATGAGTTAAATATAAGGTATTGCAAGATGCAAAGGAAAGAGGAGGTTTACCTGATTTGAAATTGTATTTTGCAGCTTACTGTTTGGTTTGGATGGAAAAATTGGGTGTTGCTGAGAAATAAAAGACTTTTAGAGTTAGAAGAAAATGATCTGCGATTTGGATGGTATGGATATTTGTGGTATGAAAAAATAAGGTTAATGTAGATTTTAAAAATCACTCTGTTAGATGTGCCATATTGAGAATATGGAATAGATACAAATCCAGGTTGTGCCCAAAAACAACTTTGTGGCTCTCAGCACAAGAAGCATTTTATAGATGAGAAAAAATAGGCAAACACAAATGGTTAAACATACCATGAGATACTAGAAGTCTGTCAAAGGGAATACAAAAATAAAATCAAGAGAACAACTGATGGCAGAGGGACATAATTGTCAATGGTTTTCCTATTTACGGTTATCAGAAAGATTCAAAGTAGACAAAATAATTTATGGTATTGAATATTCTAAGACTGACTTTGAAACAATTGAAATTTAAAACAGAAGAACAAGAGAAAGAATGTATGATAAAGTGGGTTAAAATTTTGGTTATAGTATACATATGGAACAATGGGAAAATATGTGGTTGAAAGGATTAAAATTTACACTATGTTAATAATCTTAAAGGAACTTTTATAACATGATATACCGTTGGTATATGACACCAGACACATTATCTAGAATGTATAACGGTACTTCAAATCTATGTTGGAAATGTGAACAACAAGAAGGGTCGTTTTACGATGCTTGGCAGACGTGCTTGAAGACTTTGGGTTCAGATGCGTACAGTAATTCAGAGGATTTTAAAGATTAATACACAACTGAAACCAGAACTTTTCCTCTTGGGACTGATGGATAAACAGTCGGAAAAAAGTCATGAAACTTTGTTTTATATATGAT